CCCAGCCCCCCCTCCCGCCCCCCCACAACCACACCCCACACCGCGCCCGCCAGACCGGCAACCCTTGCCCTGCCTTCTCCCCCCGGGGCCCCTGCCACGTCACCGCGCCGTCCCCCGCCCCGTGCCATCCCTCCTCGCCCTCTCGATCTTGCCGCGCGCCGGCCCGTACCGCACCCCCGCCGACGCATCATCGGGTATGGGGATCGGGAGGGGGATGCCGACGCCGGCTTCCCGGATCGACCACGTTGGTCGGTGGGTGGGCGCGTGCGTGCGTGCGAGGGTCGAGGTGGGGAGGGCATGGGTGTTGGTTATTTATAGGCGAGGGATAGAGAAAAGGAACGAGATGCATGAGTTGAAGTAGGATCGATGGCAGAAGAGTAACAGAAGAAACAACGAAGACGGACAAATAGCTAGAGATGAAGTCAAAGAAGATGAAGACAAAGGAAAAGGAACCGAAATCAAAAGTAATTGAATATTGACTTGAAGCTACCCAACCAAACCCAACCCATTCCGGCAGAGTATCGTAGATATATGACATGACACGTAGGTCGACAGACAGACAGATGGAAGAAAAAACGCCCATCCCTCCCCTTCTTCCCCAGCACTAGCACACCAGCGCCTCTCCGCTCTTTCGTTACCTCATGAGTACAATATCACCACAAACCTACTCTTCATCAATCGACTCCGGCTTCTCCATCTTCGCCGCCACCAACGCAATCAGCGCGGCACCCACGCCACTGCCATCCTTCGCAATACCGATACGGATGCGCTTCTCGCCCTTCTCACCAATCTCCGGGATTTCCCTCAGCGCGGTGCGGACGTGGTCCTCAAAGCCGGGGTAGAACTCCACGAGCGAGCCGTCAACACCAATGTCAATGACGTCCTCCTCAGAGGCGTGCGCAGTGCCCTTGTCCTGCGCGCCAGGGCCACGAGCAATTTCCGCCTTGACATCTGCCGTCGTCGTGGGCTGCGACGCCAGCTTGCCCGTCGAGAGCACAATAGCTGCGATGGCGACGGCGGACAGACGGGCCGCGCGCCGGCCAACCGCACCAGCGATCAGCTTAACGGCTTCGGCGTCCTCGGCGCTCGCGGCCGAAATACCGTAGTCCTTGTCGAGCGTCTGGCGCGTCATGCGCAGGCCTGGAGAAGTGTCGCCCTCGGCAATCGACAGGAACGACGTGTCAACTCCCCACTGCTTGAAGAGCGCTGAGCTCTCGGCAATGTTCGTTGTGCTGTGCATGTCGTTGGTCGCCGAGTTGTCGTCCTTGAACAGCGGCACCTTGGGGTCCTTGACCAGCTTGACGAGCGCCAGACGCAGGATCTCGCCCAGGAACATGCCTGACACACGCTTCTCGAACATCTGGATGCCAGGGTTCACCGACTTCTCGTCCAGCTCCTTGTCGTACGACGTGTTGGGAAGCACGTTCATCGAGTTGTCGAACGAACCCCACTCCGTGTTCACAATCATCTCGCCCGTCGACTTGTCGTAGACGGCCTCCTTGTCGCCCTTGAGCTTGGTCACCTTGTCCAGCTTCTCGACGTACGCGCCGTTGGTGCCGGTGCCGAAGATGGCACCGAGAAGGGTGCCAGACTTGCCGGGCGACGTGTACGACCGTGCCATAAGCGTGCCGACGGTGTCGTTGACCAATGCGGCAACCTTGACGGGAAGATGCAGCTCGTCAATCTCAGTCTGCAGCAGGGCACAGACATCCTTGCCCACGGCATCGGCAATGTCAAAGCCCTTGGTCCAGCGCATCAACAGACCCTTGTTAATGCCGATCTGGTGGACGGGGAAGGAGAAAGTGAAACCCAGGCTGAAGATTTCCTCTTCGGCGAAGCCTTGCTCCGACGAGATGGTCTTGCGCCTGCGAATGTGTCCATGGTAGTGCTCGCTGTGGTGGGCTTTGAGGAAGACCTCAATCTGCTTGGCGAGGAACGAGAACAGCTCCTTAGACGTCTTAGCAACCATCAACTCGCGCGGAATTGCGACCTTGGACTGGGTCAAGCTGAAGGTGCTGTTTCCGTGCAGCTGGATGGAGCAGACGCGGAAGTTGGTGCCGCCCAAGTCGACGGCCATGTACAAGCCCTGGAATGATGGTCAGCAAACCCGGGAGCGATCACGCACGTTCCATGCGTACCTTTTCCGTGCCATTGGGCACCGCGGTGACATAGGTGGGGATTTGGCTCAGGTCCGTTCCATTCTTCTGGAGACCCTCGTCTGCAGTGGCATGATGTCAGCACGCGCACACGACCACGAGAAGAAGACAGAGGGGGGAGGCTGTACGCACCCATCTGCCGGATGAATTCCTTGACCGACTTCCTGACCTGGTCAGGCGAGTAATCAAACTCGGCGGCCACGCGCTTAGCCTCTTCTGCCAGAACCATGTTGTATTTGACGGGGGTATAAAAGGTGTGGGAGGTATGCGTAGGAGGCGGCGGGACGGGGCAGGAAGGCGGGATTTTATGGAGAAGACGGAGGTGGTCGGTTGCGGAGGAGGATGCGGAGACCGGGGGGTCACGAGGGAAGATGGGGTGGGCTCGCGGTGGGGAGATGTCTGTCGCGAGGAAGAGGCGTGGTACGAGAAATTGGACAAGGAGGACGAGGGCAAGAAAGATGATCGGAAGGAAGCGACGGATGGACCGGAGCTCGGCGGGGTTTTGTATGGAGAAGAAGGAATTGGAAGCAGAGGGGTCCGGGGCAGACGTCCGTCTGCGGGCGCCGGAGGACGTCAGGGCTGCGACGAATTTCTGGCCGCGGCCCTAATTTGGCAGCGTGGGCGGGGCACACTTGGCGGGGCTGCCTACGTCACGGGCGTGAGATGCGGCGGCGGCGAGGGCGAGGATAAAGTAAGTGCGCGATTTCCAACGTGTCGACGCCCAAAGTTAAGGACAGGGAGGGAGTGTGGATGAAAGAAAGAAAATAAAAATAAAAAAAATAGGTGTCCACTACTACTGCTTGTCCGCTCTCCCGTCCCGTCGGTCCCCTCCCTCTCTCTGGCCTCTGCAGCTGCAGCAGCAAGCACCCACAGAACCCACAGCCCAGACTCCAGCCCTCCGCCCTCCAGGCCCCAGGCGTACTCCATCTCCGGCGCAGGTAACATCATCGAGTTGCGTCGGCGCCTGCACGGACTCGGCTCGGTCTCTTGTGAGGCCTCGTGCGCACCGCCGAGACCCCGACAGCCTCACCACATCTGCTGATACGTTGCAAAAATGTTCCTGTGCTTTCTCCACCCGTATATATGTCTGTTTTACTGCTAACCCTTTCCCGCGAACGCTGACTTACCCGCCCCCCGACGCCGGCAAAAATCAACCCTCTTCCACCATGCTTGCTTTCAATCCATTCGCTCTCATGCCCGCCCTCGGGCCTTGCTTGTTGTAGTATACAGTGCACCCCGCGCTACTCACGAAAGCAATCCACGGTGCTCAAACTGTAACATGTCTGACTTGTGTGTGTGTGTGTGTGTGTTTGAAGAGAGAAAACGCAA